CAAGTATATATTGATAAAGCTGCTTTTACAAACCACATACACATAAAAAATGAAAGTTTCACGTGAGAAAAGGATATTATTTATAATATGATTTTATAGCACATGACCAGACCACTTAAAATCTGCTTCACCCTTTACCTCTTCTTCTAATTTTACATTTGAGTTTTTAATCATATAAAATCTGATTTAAGAAAAAAATTTGACAGAGAATATATTTTTCATTACATTGAAAGTAAATTTATAGACATTTTCTCCCTGTTTATTTTTTAAGTAAATAATCAAATGTGTTCATGAATAACTCATGCTCAATATTTTATATTCAGGTCACAATATGTATTTAATATCTATGCCACTATTTGTTGGGGAAAATAATTTACTAATATATATTTGAGGAAAAAGAAAAAGAAAAAATGGGTTTAAGGTATAATTATGAGATTGCAAAGAAAATTTTGAGGTTTTAATATTCTTTTATGGCAAATACTTCACTGTAATTGAACATTACAGCAATTTAGAATTTTATGTTATCTCAGGACAATAGACCTAGGTAATTGTGAAATCTTAGGTGTGAATTGTTGCTAGGGATTTTAATGCTCTTTACCAGAAGATAATTTCTGGAAAATGATCTGTTTCAGAGAATATTGCCAATGGATAACAATCAGTGAGAGTCCTACCATGTAAAAAGAGGCTCCTATAAGATTTTCTTCCTCTAGATTTTTCTTCTTACAGTTAATTTTTCATATTGCTTCTAGAGTTTCTGAAAAAAAGATTTGATTATGTCACTCCTCTATTCTAAAGCCTTCCATAATTTTGCAGTATTTGCAAGTTCTCATTTAGAATATGCCCTTCATTATTTTCCACCACCACTAACACTACTGCTTATGCATTCTAAGTTTTAGCTGCAAAGAACTTATAAATATTTTTTATTTATAAATACATATATAGTGACATTATTCTCTTTGTATTTTATAAAGGTCACTCCTCTGCTGGGTGGGAAATGAATTGCCAGAGAGTGAGAAAGAAGGAAGGGAAACTATAGCAGTAACCCTGGTGAGAGATGCTAGTGACTTGAGGTAGTGTGGTGGCAATCAATGCTCAGGGAACTCCTTGCAATGGCTCCTCCTCTGCTTTTACACCTAAAGATTTTCTAAACAATATACAGGAACCTACAGCCTCATTAATACATTTTTCCCAATTGCCAGGCCATGTTCCTTTTTTCTACCAGCGTACCTATCCCAAATCAGAAGAAATATGTGTCACTATGCTTCATTTCCCAAGACTTTCTCAGGAGCTGCTATAAAGCTACTTAATATCTTGGTCAGGGTCCCCTTAGGAAAATCATGACACACTCAAAAGGAATAACAGAAGAGAGTCTAGCCACAGGGCTCTTACAAGGCATGAACAGAGTTACATGAAATCAATACGGGAAAGTGAAGCATCTGGGTTAGACAATCTTAAGGAACAGTTAGTCTTCCAAGTTTGATGGGACAAAAGAAGAGAGCATTACTGGGATCTGGCATGTCTTAGAGCTACAGCGCCTCCAATTGAATGCTTGAGTAGAAGAATTCAGCCACGGACACACTTCTCTTAGAAGGGAGCACAGAAAAATAAATGCCCTGACTTTACTCTCCACTGACCTGAAGGCAAGGGACACTGACTGATGCCATCCTTAGAGTCTGGGCTCAGGGACACAAGGCAAGTCAGACAGGTTGAGAGTGGATTTGGAGAGGAAATGCAAAGCTGCCAGCAATTCAACATAAAAACTAGATGAGTCACTGAATTAACAGATGACAAGGTGAAGGAGAATCCATACATGGAAAGAGAATAGAAAACTTGGAGTTTTATGGGCATCTTATTGTCTGACTGCAACAGGGCCAAGATAGCAGCTAAAAGTTAAATTACAGGTCTCTACAAATTCTGCATTAGTACTTCATGAAGTTTTTTCTTAAAAACCACCTCGTTCAGAATTGACTAGGTTGCATATTAAAACAAGATGTCTAGGCACTGCGTTAGGCCTACTGAATCAGAATCTCTCAGGATAAGGACCAGCATTTGCATAATTAACAAATTCCAAGACTGATTCTGACTAATTTCTTTCATTCTTTCTTTCTTTTTGAGAACTATTGTTCTGGATATTTTTAAGTTATAAACTTCATAAAATTGTAGGCAATTTTCCCCAATTTATCACTTTACACTGGCTCCAACCTTCATGATAAACTGTACACCTTAGTTAAGGTGTTAGTTTTAACCTGGAGATAATGTGAGACAAGCAAAATACTTACTGCAAAAGAAAAACAAGTTGCCAGGCTGTGAGCCCCTTGATTCAAACTGTCATTGAATCAAAAGGAAATCTGCATCCGAGAGGCATATTTCTTTCCTTCTTCTTTTCCCATGCAGAGTGAATCTCAGGGATGTCTCAACTCCCCAGCCCTATGTCCCAGACAGGTGGTCCGGAACCAGGCTTAGTTATTACTATGCACCCTGCTCCCAGAGGTTCCACAGCACTTAGATTAGCAAAGCAAACTCATTTTCAAGAAACTTAATGGTGATACTTCATCAGGTATTAGCAAATGGCCCCCCTAACAAACACATCATCAGAAACAATGTTGGCAAAATCAGTGAGTGCCAACTTGAGGATGACAGCTCAGTTCCTAACGGAGCACCACCGGGGACTCATTATGAGGTGGTGGGAAACAGGGATGGAAGCACTTCTAGGGCCACATGTGTGGGAGCTGATGCAGCCAGCCTCCCAACCATGGCGCTGCAATCCGGTACACTGAAGAAATATCTGTGATGGGAATTGGAGCTGTGTGACATTGACACCAGACACCAGAATGTTTTCTTTTCCTTTTTGCCATTACACACACACACACACACACACACACACACACACACACACAATTGTGAGGAATTTTTAAAATACGAAAATAGAATCTATACTATCAAAGAATTAGCTTCCTATACTGATAACTAAAGCACCATTAAAAATATATTGTATCTTATTAAACATCTTTTGGTCAGAGATGTCCTTATATGTTATCTTACTAAGGCATTCTGAGTGTCTGTGAGATTAATCAATGCTTACAAATATTTCAAAATACTTTGAAAAAATATTAGTTGGACATAATTATAATAGCAATACTATTACAGACAGTCCTCAGATTATGTAGGACTCAACGTACATTGTTTCATGGTTATGTCACCATCTCCCATCCTATATAATAAAAGGTTAATATGCAAATTGTCCCCTCAACCAGGAGTTTGACCAGGAGGCAGGGCCAGCCAGCCAACCTCCTGCTTCCCCTCCCTCCCATCGGCTCTTATCAGGGTGGGCCTGCCAGACCCCACCTGTGCACGAATTTGTGCACCAGGCCTCTAGTTTATTTATTTTTTTAAAAAAAGTTCCATCATTTTGATGTATGTATATATGTGCTTTATGTTTTTTATTATTTATTTACCACAAGTAAAGGTCAGGAATTGTTATCTTTCTTTTAATTTGTTTTACTGTTTCACTTCATTACTGCTGTGTATGTGCTTCATGTGAGTGATGTAGGTGCTTATGTAGGTGGTTCTGACTTATGGCAAAAATCGCTGTACATCGCGCCATAGGAACAGATCTCCAACATAAACTGAGGACCTACTGTATTACCTGGTACATGTTGAGTAGTTATTTTGTTTCACAAGTACTAAACACTTTGCAAAAATTCTCTAATTTAATTGTTTAAACAACAACTTGGTGTTATAGGTGTGATTTTTTTTTCTATTTTATAGAGCAAATGAGACTTACCAAAACTTTTGGCTTAAATTCCCAAAATCCTAAAGTTTATAAGTGGCATAGTTGGAATTCTAATTGAACAATGACAAGCCCTATGTTTTTGGTTAAAATAGTCATTCTATACCATTCAACTTATATCAACTTTAAGTTCTCAAAGATCAGTATAATTCTAGAAATATTTACACTGAATTTTAAAAAACACTTTCAAGGTAATATGTGGAATGTTACATATATGAGAATTACAGGGTAAAATTCTAGGTTTTGGAGTCTGACCGCTGTACAATAAAAATTATGGTAATAATTAGCTACAAGGCTTTGATATATTTGAAATGTTGCTATGAGTTTATAGAATGTGTATTGAATACATATGACAGTGTAGATATTCATTCAATAGAGACCATTATTTAATGGATTATGTAGTATCCATTTTAAAACTCAAGGGAACATTTCAGAAAGTGAACACACTTATTTATATTTACTAATCAGCATACTAACATATTGTCTTTCAGAGAAAAAGAATGTATTAGAATTCTGGATGTAGGAGGATCAGTCTTACAGAATAATTATTTTTCAGCTTAAAATACATGCCATTTTACCTTCAATTTAAAGTATATTTTTATTCACTAATTGAGATTCTTAAATCTGAAGCTGCAGGTCAAGATCATGGTAGAGAAGCAGATATGAAAAATGATGATGGCATGTTAAATGTAGACGTGTTTATAGATTGCTTAGGTGAAATGAGATGTACTTAAATAGAGCTGAGGAAGTCAAGGGACTTTGAAACAATGATGTTATTAATGTGAATTGTGAAAAAAATGGGAGGATAATGTCAAGATGTAAGGAGAAAAAGATTGTGATCTATATATTGAAATTACAGAAGCAGAAAAGGATCATGGAACTTGGTAGACAAGAACAATAAAGAAAATAGTTTACTGAATTTTTGAAGATACTGAAAAAAAAGTTTGGAAGCTGCGATAGAAAGAGGTTGGCTGATTCCCTAACCCAAATAAACCAGGAATGCCAGTGTTTCTGCTCTTGAATTTTCAAGTTATACTGGAGAGAGCTCTATAACAAAACAACTGGTTCCATCATTAACTACAAAGAAACCAGCCACTCACTAGTCCTAATCAATGTTTTAATTTGTCTTTAAATTGGCTGCATTTCCATAAAGCTGTTTCATTTCCTAAAGAAGGGAGCCCCAATTCATATTTAGTATCTACAAATAATCTCACCTTAAGTGACATCAAGACCAGAAGCAATGAACTTCCTCAACATCTCTCCCATTTCTCTTCAAAACTCAGCTTCTTCACCCATCTTCTCCTCTCTCCCTCCTATTGAAGATAAAAAAGTAATTTAATTGTGACCCTTCTCCACCCTCTGAGAGCTTGTCCCAATAGTCATGTACCATTTCTCTTCTCTCTCCCTCTCCCTCTCCCTCTCCCTTTCCCTTTCTTTCTCCCTCACCTTCTCCCTCTCCTAGATCCTTTTCCTCAAAAGGTAAGACTGCACACATGCTAGTGCCTCTGATCCCATCACCACTGCCCTGCTGGATGTTCCCTTTACTGGTAGATTCCTCAAAAGATCATTCTCAGAAAAAGAACCTCTATTTCCTAATGTTTTCTTTTTCCACTCTCTCCATTGATCAAGGGCTTCACTCTCTCAGAGATGTAATAATAATCTGCCAAATCTAAGATTTTTTTCTTCTATCCTTATCTTGAATGTTCTGTAGAATTTTTTCATCACAGTTCTCGTCCTGTGGCTTCCATGATGCTGCTCTCTCAAATTGATTTTTTTTTAGGCCTTTTTCTTTTAGACTGTTATTTCTCATTCTGCTCCCTAAATAGAAGTTTCCAGTTTTTATCCCTGCATGTTCTTTCCCTTTAAAACCACCTATATTAGACTGGCTTTAACTATCATTTCTAAACAACCATCACGTACATCACAAGCTTTCTCTCACTTCAAAAATTCCTTCCGATCATCTCTAAAAAGATGCCCTACAAGCACCACACACGAAACCCAACACCCTTCTTGGATCATCCAGTTTCACACTTGGGGCCTTTCTGATTGCAATATCACCTCTTTTCCTCACATTCAAATAGATGCTAAATCCTATGCATTCCACTTTTCTAATACCTCAGACAGTCACTTCTCTGTTTCTATCAGCACTCACTTCACTATCTTCCATCTGGTAGTAAACAATATGTTTTAAACAGTAACTTTAACAATTGGAATGTGAATTTAAAATATTGGAACTTAATGAATATAAATATGGTAAACAAGTCTGGGGTTTCCTCACTTCAACATTCTCTTTGAAGTCTTTTCCAGCCTCTCACTCTAGTCTGCCATAAACAGCAAGCTTCCAGAAATACTGCAAAAGAGAGAACATTCTTGAGATTCCCAGAACCTTTTTATTCTTTTTTTTTTTAATATATTTTATTGATTTTTTACAGAGAGGAAGGGAGAGAGATAGAGAGTTAGAAACATCGATGGGAGAGAAACATCGATCAGCTGCCTCCTGCACATCTCCCACTGGGGATGTGCCCGCAACCGAGGTACATGCCCTTGACCGGAATCGAACCCGGGACCCCTCAGTCCGCAGACCGACGCTCTATCCACTGAGCCAAACCGGTTTCGGCTCTTTTTTTAAAGTAATTGATTTTTTTTCTTTTTTAGAAAGAGAAAAGAAGAGAGAGAAGCATCAATTTGTTGTTCCAATTATTTATGCATTCATTGGTTGATTCTTGCATGGGCCCTGATCAGGTTCAAATCACAACCTTGCCATATCGGGACATTGCTCTAACCAACCGAGCTACTTGGCTAGGACATCACCCTTTTGTCAACATTTGGAGACTCTCTTAGGTTTTTAAAAATACATTTTTTTATCAGTTTTAGAGAGGAAGGGAGTTGAAGAGAGAGAAACATAGATCAGCTACCTCCTGCATGCCCCCTACTGGGGATTGAATCCAGTCATATACCCAGATGGGGAATCAAACTAATCACCTCTCAATGCATAAGATGACACTCAACCAACCGATTCACACCTGCCAGGGTGAGACTCTCCTAGATTTAAGTTAACCTCTGGCTTTGCAAATCTCCAGCGAGGTGCCTGCCCTCTATAGGCATTTTCCCTCACTGCTTCTCTAGTCCCTCTTTAAAATTCATCACCCTCCCTTTTTTATTTTAAATCATGGTATTGTGGAAGGAGTTTGAGATTTGGAAAAGACTAATATCAAATCCCACTGCTGCAGATTACTGATGCTGAGACTTTGGAGAAATATTTTGTAGTATTTCTGTTTTTTTGAAATCTGTGAAAAGGGTTGATAACACCTATCTGAGCATAATTGGTGAAGATCAAATGAATTAATATATGTAAGGCACATACCACACAATGTAAACACTCAAGAAACATAAGCTCCTTCTAATTTGATATCAATTTATATTAATGTAATACAATATCTGGTACTATTTGATGGTATCCCTTCGGGAGTAACAATATTGTATTGCAGACAAATCCTGAGTGGAGGTACATCTCTGATAAACACAGTTGGCATATAAGAAGGTTCTTCCTACCATTCTTTAAAATAATTCCTACTTTGATTTATTCTGAATCATTTTTATGACAATGTGGATAAAATTATTTTTCTGTTATAATTTGCTTTATGATGTCATTTTTTCTAACCAGATGAAATCAGGAGTTGAAGTGACTTTGAATGAATGAGCATGCTAGTGAGGTTGACTAAAAGCTGGGCGAGGATGAGGGGGCCAGGTTTGGGGTGAGAGGTGGCAATTTTGTCAGACAGATGGCAAGGGATAAACTGAGAGGCACAAAGGATGGGCTGGCAGGCTCAGGGACCCCCTTATCTTAGCCAAGATTCAAGGAAATGTGGAGGTGTGAAGAGGATTGAAAACTCAGGTGGACAGTCTTTCTTAACTAATTAATTAGTCTTGCCTGAAAGAAAACACACATACACACTTCCATGTTAAAAAAAAAAACAAAAAAAAAAACCAACACTGCAGATCGTAATGTTGTTTGTTTAAGACTCTGGATTACACTTGGCCATAACAGACTGCAATGGATACTCTGTGTGCTACTTTTCATCTCAAATTTTGTGCTTAACATGTGAGCATATGATTCATATTCTAGCAGTTTATTACCATCAATAAAATTATCTTGGGCTAATGTTGATTTCAAGGTAGGTTACATGTCTGTAATTCTATCTTTACCGCTTAATATTTTTTCCTCCTCAGGGTCATGTTTTAAATGTGACCTAAAATAGCAAAGTCTTTGAAGAGTCTTCAGCATTGTGGTCAGGTTCGCAGACTGTGAAGCCAGATGGCCTAGTTTCGAAAGCTATTTCTACCACTTACCAGCTACATAACCTTGGGTACTAGTATTCATTTCGCTTCTTCTAGCTTCAGTTCTCTTATGTGTAAAATGGGAATAATAATGGTGATCTCACAAAGCTAATGAGAATATTCAACAAATTAATATATATAAAGTCCTTAAATCATGCCTGGCAAGTAGTTTTAAGTTAGCTACTAGCCTGGCACCTAGTAAATGTTACATGAGTGTTAGCTATTGCTGCTGCTAGAAGCTGTCAGAGTAAATTCCACATGCTATATTATTACTTTAAAAACAGTACACTGATCTATCCTCATAGAGGAATTTATTCAAGCGTGCCAGATAAATGTCTAAATACACTTACTCATCAAACCAAACATGAGTTTACCCCAGAAGTTGAAGAGAAGCACAGTGAAAACAATCATTTTTTAACAGAAAATTGTTTATGTTTTAGTAACTTAATATAGAGTTAAATACTTTATAAAAGCATTTGGCAGACTCTGATGTTGATCAAGTTAAAAAATAATGTGAGAACAAAATAAAAACATTATTTAATGATTTATCAATTCACTCACTAAGCAATTAACTTATGCTTGCCCTACACAGAAGCTTGAAGAAAACAAAAAGAAAAATAAGAGCAATTTCCTACCTTTTTTGGAGTTATAATCCAGTAAGGAAAACTCAGATAATTAATTTTAAATCGTGGTCCTGAACACAATGATAGTCAAGTGAGAAATAATAGGGGAACATACAGAAGGAAGTGATGTGTATTTATGGGAGTACTTGGTGATGGTGTGTGACTGGCAGAAGGCAAGCATTTATCGCTATCCTTAAGTTAAATCTCTGGTGTATAGGAAGGGTAGACACTCATGGCATCAATAGTCTCTCGTTATTATACTTAAACTTTTTTCAGCCCAGCCTGTGAAAAAAGACATAATAACATATAGACTTGACCCCAAAACACAAAGCATCCAAAGTCTTCAAATTTAGTAGGAAAAATTAATTAGACCAAAAAATATTAATGGATTATATTAATGCAACATTGTAATTAATATTTTGAATGTCTGGGAGAAAAAATTTCTAAAACTTTACTGCAAAGCACAGACAGACCTTTAGGAGAATCATTTGAGAAAGTTTCTCCTTGATGCTTATGTTGTCCCTGGGATAATGTGATCTGTCAGGGCCCCCACATAACAATGAGGGCTATGGAAGCAAGACAGGAAGATAGGTCTTTCCTGGCTATTGTTCCCACAGTCAGTCAGTCCCCTTCATACAGCCATCCAGCTCTTCCCTGGCCATGTGTGAAGTCCCAAAGCACAGAGAGCTTCTTGGTTTCGTTCAGCATTATCCAGCCAGAATGAATAACAGTTTTTTGTTTTGTTTTTTTCTTGAAAGAAAAATCTGTAAGAAAACAAGTTCAGAAACTGAAATACAACCTGGGTAATATTAAGTGGGTTTTTAAAACATATAAATATCTTTTCAAAGTTTCTTAACTTCACTAGATGGAAGATACACAAATTTAAAGTATTTTATAGGTTTCATAGTATAATGTCAAAACATAAACTACCACGAGGCATACATACTTTTTAAAAGGCTAAGCTTTTTGATCATCATAAGGTTCTCTAACTGTGACACTTCCACACTGAGTGTAAGCTTAAGAAGTTAGGGAGATAAAAATCTTGGGGGCCCAAACCCTGGAAATTTGAGTAGCATCCTGTGGTAATTCATTCACTCTGATGCTAACATCAGTACTGTTGCTCTAATTATAGACATAATTAAAACAGTTAATCACTACTATAGCCAATTAGGAAACAATGCAAAGAGAGATTCCATTCATAATAACAACAAAAATATAAAATACAAAGAAAGACAGTTGACAAAAAGTAGGCAAGATAAAAATAAGGAAAACTATAAAATAATGTATGTATTAAAAAATAAAATAAATAAAAGAAAAGAAAAAATAAAAACTTTGAGAAACTAGAGCACCTTATGACTCTCCCTGGGTGTTGCAAATTTTGTTTCCTTTAATATGCATTTCTTTATATTTCATAAGGTCTACAGTGAAAATTACATTCATATTATAATGTTAAAGTCAATTAAAGTTATTAATTTAAACTGGAGGCCCGATGCACAAAATTCGTGCAAGGGACTCGGCCCTCACAGCACCAGCTTCATCCAGAAGGACATCCAGAAGGTCGTTCCACTATCTGGTCTAATTAGCATACTATGCTTTTATTATTATAGATTGCCAGTTATCTTATTTTTAAAAGATAACTTAGAACTTAGCTCTTGAAATGACAGCATGTAAAAGAGAGTGTTGTCTGATGTGTGTAGTCTAATCGTTATATCGGAGAAAATTTACTCTCATATCTATTTCTACTTAGTTTTAAGTTGAACCGTGTAAAATTGTTTTTCAAGCTTTGGCACATTATGGTAGTTGGTTTAATTTTTTTCCCAGGTTAAAATGCAAGTGTTTCATTAGTGTGCTTTGGTACTCTGGGCCCACATTCTTGCTTTAGGAAGAACCAGTAAACTATGACCCATAAACTTAGATGGCAACTGAATGCTCAGCTAGTCACATTAGAGTTGTTACATTTCCTCAGCATAGAAATCAGACATCATAATTGTTTTAGATCTTTCTGAATATTGAAATATATCTCCTCTCAGGTTCTTAATGATGAAAGGTAATCGCTGAGTCTTTAGAACACAAGAAGGCTCAGAAGAATTTATTCTCAACGCCATATACGTTTCACTATTATTAATATTAGATATACCTTGATATTATTTTAAATGTGGATACAATTAGATAAGCCACACTTACACCAATGGCAAAGTTTATATATCCTTTTTGTTTTAATACCTCATAGGCACTTTGACCCACCAAATTATAGACCCCCTTCTAAATCTCATTGTCAAGGTTCATTTTCATTTCTTAATTCAGTATAAAAGGCAAAGTTCTTGCCATAGTCACTCCACTCCATATCGCCACACTTGAATCACTATGGTCTTCTGGAATCCATCCATGGCAAGATGAATGCCAAAATTCGTAGCTAAAATATCCTGATCTTGTAGAATCTAGACTAAATTCATTTCTAATCACACAGGGCTTGCTTGGGTTATGTTCATTGAGTCTCAGACAACATATGCAAGATCACCCACTAGGTTGGAAACCATAATTCTGACACAACTATACTGTTCTAAATAATCTTAAACATAATGAATTTGAAGATGGTAATTTTTCTCTGGATCAGGTTGAGGTAACTCTTTCTCTGTTCCTGACAAAATCCTGTGATTATCTCTAACTCGAAATCTTTGCAAATTAAAGTTTCTCCCCAACCCACTGAAATCCTAGAATAGGGAGGAGGAGTGAACATGAACAATTTCTGCCCTGCCCCTCCACCCATGGGGAATTTCGTGGCTTTTTATAAGTTTCTTTCAGTTTGCTGCCATTGAACCCTCTCTTGTTACCTCTGCTAATGGTAGTTCAGCCCCTGCCGTGTTCCTTCGCCCAAGTGGTTCAGTGAAATGGAGTCACTGAAGAGAAGACTCAGGGAAGGTTCCCTTCCTCAGGGTTCCCATTGGCCCTTTACACAACATGCAGTCACAGTTTGCTCTCTGCTGGGCTCTCTCCTCATCACTGTGTTACTTTGGAAATTCTCCCTATAGGGGGCAAGGGCCAGGTCCTATGGCCCTCAAATTCCAAGGAATTGTAAAACTCTTCAAACATTTCTTTTGAAGGAAACCCTCTTCACTTGATAGGGGTAAGGGAAAGTGCCACAGTGAGGGGAAGATTGTAGGAGTTAAATTGTCCTTTCCATTTTTTCTCTTCCAAAACCTACAGATGGGCAACGGACTAAGGTTGCAGAAATTGCTTCACAGTCTTCATGTGGTACAGAGATAGTACAGCAACTTGCTTGGGGATGTGAACAGGGTTGGTGCAAATCCAACTGAGACTTCTGCTTAAACTCCAAAACAACAGGAATGACAACATTTACCATTATCTTAGATACATGTATAATATTTATTTATATACTAGAGGCCCAATGCTCGAAATTTATGCACAGGTAGGGTCCCTAGGCCCGGCTGGTGATCAGGGCTGATCTGTGGGGCAACCGGCGAAGTGATTGGGGGCCCCCCACTGGCACCCACCTTGGCCGGCCTGGGGCCTGCGGGCTGGGGGCAGCTCCTGCATTGAGCATCTGCCCCCTGGTCAGTGCACATCATAGCAACCTGTTGTTCTGCCATTTGGTCGATTTGCATATTAGGCTTTTATTATATAGGATACATGATACTCCTGTGCTTCTATATTACATATGAATGAATTCAGAGTGTGGTGTATCTAGGTATCATAATATAGGAATAGATAAATTTGGAGGAGAGGGACAGAGAAAAGTTATATAAACCCATATAATATTTAAAGCCTAGAATAGGACTTGGGGCAGCATTAAGTCTTTAACATAACTTTTAGATCAATTAATTGTAACATTTTGAAAGTATATTCCTAATACCTCTGTCTGTAGCTATAACTCTCACTTATCTTTAGGACCTAACTGAGCATGTTAAGATCTCCATAAATCTATTCCTCTGGTCTCAGTCCTGACATGGAAAACTATCTTATAAGGATACTTATTTAGATTTTGGTTAAAGTTTTGAAACTTGTGAAAAAAAACTTGAGGAGGTGCCAGCTACTAAAATGTTTTTTAATCTCTGGGTAAATTCAGTTCAAATATCCAATTTTTAAAAGTCCATGCATCATGAGAAGTATCTCCATGAAGTTCTAGTGCCTGTAAGAAAATAATCCGTGCAGGGACATTCCAAAGGTTTGTGTTTGACCTTTCTTTGGTTTTAATCACTGAAGTTCTAGACAGCTTAATAAGTTGAAGGTGCTGGGTCACAGTCTAACTTAATGAGGCCTGCTGCAGAGACTGGGCACCTCTGATTGCTCCCATAAGTCTTAGCACATCTGGTGTACTGTCCTTGGATGAGAAATGTTTTCCATAACTTTTCTCTTGTTCACTACCCTGCATATAAATTGTTTTTATTAACCCGAGAATGATACAGCACTGTATATTTGTGTGAGCTTTTGCCATTTTCAGCTTTATCCTACAGAAAGAGAGTTGATTGTTTTCTCCAAAAAGGAATTAAACACTGTTTATCACCAATGTCTTCTTTTCTATTTTTCTACCCTTACTTAATATGGGTCAAACTAACCTTCAGTTTGACATCAGATTAAAGAACTAAACATTGTAACAAGACTCTTCGAGACAATTTACAATATGCCATAGTTGTGGAAGAAAAGAACCAGATAAAAACAATAGATCACTTTTAAAGACTTTTTCCATAAGACAACATATCCAGATGTAAATATCAAGGAGATTCAATTGTATAGGGAAATATATATATATACACATATTTGGGTGATTGGCACATTCCTTTGTCCAGAATGATAAACAAATTGATAGACAATCTATTCTGTTTTATTTCAGGATATTTTACAAATCTAATGAAAGCCATATTTCTTCTTTCTTTGCTATTTCCCATATGGATACTAGTAGCATGGAAGTTGATCCAGATGGATAAAACTACAGTTTTATAGGATGGTGTTACATCTGCATCCTCCACCTTAACCTTAGTCATGAAGAATGTATCTCAGGGCCATTATAGCGCAGTAAAGAAAATTGAGTGTCTTTATAAAGAAAGTGGACCAAAGACAACATGACCATATTTTTACTAAGGAAATTCTGCAGGTGGAAGCAGTTTGTATTGGAATCCATCTTATCTCTCTGAAAGCCAAAATATTTGCATACTGAAGTCATCTGCCATCCCATCATTGACACTTATCTTTTGAACAGAAAACATTGCTTGCATTCTTCTCTGATTAATCCTGTCTAACCTAAATTCATACACAAATACCATATTTCACATAGCATTATATTAAAAATATAAAAAGAAGAGGAAGTAGCTAGATGGTGTCAAAGGATAGTTAGTCATTCTATCAGACACAAGGTGAAGACCAGTTCTGGTCATAATTAGGTCAGCTCCAGAATAAGCAGAATGTCTCTGGTATCAAGCTAATGGAAGCTTTGGGAAGAGTAAATGTAATATTCTAGTTGTATTATTTTTAATTTGCCTACTGAAATGTTGAATAAAACCTGCCTATGTTTTTTCCTATGTCATATTATATGTCACTAATGTAACTCTACAAAACACTGGTTTTGCCATATCACTTCAACATTAGCAAGATTCTTACTCTTGTATATTCTTTATTCAATTAAAGGACACATCAAAGCACTCATGATTTTTGTTGTTTACATTTTACTACTCAACCACTCTTTCAGATTTTCCTTTCATACAACTCATTTGTGAAGGAAGCTTCATGTGACTCCAATATAAAATTCTTAGATTAACATTTTTAACAGCTTTGTCCATTCCCATAAATCTAGATACCTGATATATGAAAATGTAGGTATCACCCAAACCTACCTGCCATTCTTCTCTTTCTCATTCATTTCCTCACTGACATTCTTACCTAGACAATATTAAAATGCAATTTCTTATAGTTCTTCCTTATACATTGCAAGATCACCTTCTCCATCATGTATTTGCTACTTGATCATTTAGCTATCTAATCACAGGCACATATAAAAATTTTATTTTAAGTTTTATATAGTACTGCCCACAATTCCACACCTTTAAGGATACCTCAATTAGATATTTACAGAATCCTAAGATTCTAATTTGCCATCATAATTGTATAAAGATCAATACTGAAAGAGGCTCAAAGACTTTCTATTCCATCTCTTACATTTGCAGCTAAGAAAAATGCTCTAGGTGGCAAAGACGAAATCAAAACACCAATCACTATATTTCAAGTTCACAGCTCTTATTGCAACAGCTTGCATTTACAACCCAGAAAAACTGCCGCAAATTAGTCCTCTGCAAATTATCAGTCTTAAAAATGTCAGTATTCTCTACTCTACTATATTAGGGTTCTCCAGAGAATCGAGAATCGGAATCAATAGCATAAATACAGATATCTATAAGAGGAGAATTATTATAGAAACTGGCCCACATAATTACAGAGGCTGAGAAATCCCACGGTCTGCTATCTGCAAGCTGGAGTCAGGGATATAATCCAGTCTGAGTCCGAAGGCCTGAAAACCAGGGGATCTGATCATGTAACTCCCAGTCTAAAGGGTGTAAGTCCCAGAGTTGGAAGGCCTAAGAAACCAGCATATCTAGTGTTCAAGATCAGGAGAAAATGGACAGTCCTGTTCTAGAACAAAGAGAGAATTCACCTTTTCTCTACCTTTTTGTTCTTTGGTCCCTCAACCAATTGGATTATGCAAATCCACACTGGTAAGGGGATCTTTTATACTGATTCAAATGCTAATCTCTTCCAGAAACATTCTCACAGAGACACACAGAAATAGTGTCCACTGGGTATCCTGGTCAAATTGACACATACAATTAACCATCACAACTGCTCAGTTCTTCCTGCAGATCCCAAGTCATGTAGATGTACACTGTGCTTCAAAATTTGTCAGAATTCCCTGCCTCATCCTTACCCCACTATCTTCTCAGGCATACTTATTCACTTTTACTACCTATCTTGAGTCTACTTTTTTGCCTAAAAGCCATCCTCTATGAATTCTTCTCCAAACCACTACAGCCATTTTAATTTTAACTGCCTCCATTTTAAAAGTTCCTAAAAATTCTCTTAACTTCTCAGACTAGGTAACTTCCTCCACCAGTGTTGATAGTATCATACTTCTGTTGATAAAAGCCACAAATATTTTTGATGCTTCTTATGAGTTAGTCTCTGTTAAAACCCTGAAGATACATATCGCCATACACCAGCTCCTGGACTCACCTATCTCTTGTCCCAGTGCCCATTACACAACTGGCTCTGAAGGGGCTCTGACCAACTTCATGCAGGTACTCTGACGGCATGACGCCATCACAAACAGAGGAAGTTGAAGAATTGGAGATAAGAAAGTTTTGAGTAGAGATATTTTGATATATAAGAAAATATATTACTTATACAAAAACGCTTGGAGTTTCCTAAGTGATTAAGAGTGGTAACGATGTTTTTGTTATGTTAATATGGTGACCTTTGGGAAGCATCTAAGGATATGGCTGATTGTGACTGAAGGACTGGAACTTTCAGTCCCCACATTCGCCTTACCTCTAGACCAGGAGAGGCATTGGAGGTCAACTGATGGTCAGTGATTTAATTAACCATGCCTATGTAATGAAGTTTCCATTAACAACCAAAAAGGGTAGGATTCAGAGAGCTTTCTGTTTTTTTGGTGAATAGGTCTCACCTTCAGACCTGATAATATTTTGAATAAAGTTTAGAGAGATGAGGCTGAAAAGAGAAGCAAAGGCCAGATCACGAAGTTTTAAAGACTACTTCAATACACAAAGGATTTTTGAATCTATTATCACAATGGTAACCTGAAAGAGGTAAATCTCAGTTTTCAATGTGCTTTAAAAAACACACAAACATTAAAATTTAAGATAACTAATGAGATTCCTGCATTTGAAGGCAGATCTAGTTCCAACCCTCAAGGCATAAAACTCTTAATTTGCTTGTGTCTTCTGCATACCACTCTCCATTAAATCAATATTAGAGTCCTAGCTGGTTTGGTTTAATGGATAGAGCATAGGCCTGCAAACTAAAGGGTCCCAGGTTCGAGTCTGATCAGTGGCATGTACCTTGTTTACAGGTTTGGTCCCTGGCTTCAGAGGCACATTCAGGAGGCAGGCAACCAATCAATGTGTCTCTTTCACTCTGTCTCTCCTTCTCCCTTCCACTTTCTAAAAACCAATGGAAAAAAAAATGTCCTTGGGTGAGGATTAACCTAAAAAGTAAAATAAATAAGTAAAATCAATATTGGAGTCTTGAGATTTTATTATGAGTGGCTTCAGAGAATTTCATAGTAGGAATGCATTTTAAAGAACATCTGGTTCAAGTTTCTTAGCTTTCAAATTTTTTAATCTCAAAAATGCACTACAATTTACATAAGAATTATAAAAATAAAATAAAGAAAATAAATATCAAATAAAAGTTTTCATATAAATTAAGATTCTGAAAACCCAACATCTTTATTTACCAGACAGGGAGGAATATGAGCAAAATGAAATGAGAATACAATGATAGAGTATGATGTAGAAATTTCAGATAACTGTATCAAGTGTGCTCCATGACCTTTGCAGCAGGGTTCAGGATCGGAAGGAGGGGCCAACGCACAAATGAAAATGCTATACAAGAAATACGAATTTAGAAGGCATTGGGGGCCAGTTGGAGCCTCTTTCTTGAAGCGACACACAGCTTTCTGGCCTGGTCCACTATTTATTTTCTTGAATACACATTTTCCTTTTAGCAAAGTATACAGTCATATCAAAGGTAAAGTTTGGCAAATAGTAAAAGGATTATCACGTTAGGGAATTGCCTTGAGCCAGCACTGTCTCAACAGACAAGGTGCTTAGCATCAGCCCTGCTAAAACCCAGGGTCCATCGGCCTTCCGTGTTCCTTGGTGCACTCTCATGATAGTATCAGCAAGCAGTGGCTTCCCACCGTGTGCCTCTTATAAAAATATTCAGATTCTTTTTTTTTTTTAAATTGAGTTCCATATCTGTGAGCTCATTTGTGGTTACTAATACATAGAACCAAACTGGATGCAGTTGGTGTTTACAAAAATTAGATGATCATCAGAATCACTGGGTAAACTACTAAAACATTGAAATTTTGGTGTTCTACCTTACAGTGCTTGTTTTTGTATGATTGGTTTTCATTTGTTTTGGTCTTTTAGTTTGTCTGTCTCTGGTCAGAAAAATGATTTAGGTGCATTTATTCAGCAGTTTATCTAATATTTAATATTTGTCAGGAACTGTTCTAGGTGCTAAGGATATAGTAGTAAATAAGCCTATTTTCCTAATCTCATAAATCTTATATTCTAAGTAACATAATAAGAATAGGCATGTATATACTCTTAATGGCAACCTGATAAAATAAATTTTACCATTTTCCAAGGTTTAATTAAAGTTCTAATTGGTGATTTAAAGAAAAGATACTGATTCATTTATTAACAAAATCAAATCATAAAATCACAATATCTTCCAATCTTTTATTACTTCTAATATTTAGAGCAATTATACTCAATAGTCTATTTATATAAGTCACTTTTATAAATTCAGTTTTATAAAATCATGTGACTAGAATAGCTTACATAAGTTTTACTCAATTACTATTAAATTATTCATTGACATTTCAATACACTTCAAAATAGAATGTAAAAAAAAATAAAATATTTATGATAGGATTCATCTATTTTCTTTATTCTATGAACTTGACATAGCCTTAATACATACCTTCTCCTTTCTACAGCACCTCTCAAAGCTGTCTTCTGTTTTGTGTTCATTTTTAAGAGCTGATCATCAGAGGTAGGCTTATAATCTGAAATACAACATAAATTGCTTAGGACAACCATTTCATGGCCTCTTGCAATGACAGAATTTTCCCTAAGAACTTTGCATTTTTTCCTTTTGAGTCACGTCAAATAGTTTCTTTCACTTCCACCCATCCTGGTCTCATCCACTGGGTGGCCAGCATTACTGTCTGCTTAAAAGCAGCTGGAGGAGAAAACCACCCTGAATAACCTCCATTTTTATATAAAAATTATAACTCCCAAGAGACTGGAAGCACTGTAATGCTGACTTTCTGACCTCAGCCAACTGTTGTGGCTGCTCACAAATGAACCCACCAATAAAGAGATTAGAAAAACTCTGGAATGTGGTTTTTGGCCAGAATAAACTCAATCTAGATAAAGGGAAAGAGACTGTCCATTTTATTTTTCAGGGTAATGTCTACCACATTGAAGCACTAATGAATACTCAGACACACTAAGATTTTTTTTTTTTTTTTTACATTCTTGGCTACACATTAATTTTAGGTGGACATTCCTTAATCTAAGGTTCTTTGTGGGTAAGCAGCTGCACTGTGGAATTATTCTGGTAGTTAAACAAAAATAAAAGTGTTCTTCCTTTTGAAATGTTTAAAATAAATTCTTTAGATATTAAAGATGGAGCCATGTAGCATTAACTAAAAATATTCTCTTATTAGAACAAGTTCTTCTCATCTATTTTGTTCATTCAAACACTAGCACCCGGTGCACAGATTTGTGTACATTGAAAGGAAATTAATTAGAAGGTGGCCGGCAGGGTGGGACTGAGCAAGATGAGCCAGACATGCCCTGGAGCCAACCTCCAGGGGTCCCTCCCCGGCCAGCACACTAGGTGGTGCTGTAGCTTGAAGTGTGTCTACACAATGAGCCAGGTCCCTCAGGCAGTTGGGGTCCCTTGGCCTGGCCTGCAGGGGTCAGGCCAAAACTGGCTCTCCAACATCCCCAGGGGGGTCCCAGAGTGCAAGAGGGCACTCTGCAAAGTTGCTATCGTACAGGGTATGGAACACAAACACAAGTTTGCAGTAAACCAGATGCAGAACCGACAGTGCCCCAGCAACAACATAACCCATGGCCAAAGGTATAATTGCGCAGCCCCATGAGGAATCAGGCTCCCTTCTCTCTGGTTTCGGGGTGCGTTACTCAAGAACTGCCACTGCCAAGTCACTGCAACTCCACAGCTCCTGCATCGAGCATCTGCCCCCTGGTGGTTAGTGCTCATCATAGAGACTGGTCAGATGGGCAGAGGGACACTTAGCATATTAGCCTTTTATATATGTATATATATTAGAGGCCCATTGCACGAAGAGATTTGTGCAGTAGTCCTTCCCTTCCCCTGGCTGCCAGCACCGGTTTTCCTCCGGCACCCGGGACCCAGGCCTTCGCTCCAGACGGAGCCTTCAGTCTTCACGGCTCCGGATGGAGCCTTCAGTCTTGGCTCCGCCGTTTCGCCCCTATGTATGCAAATTAACTGCCATCTTTGTTGGGTTAATTTGCATACTCTCCTGATTGGCTGGTAAGCATAGAAGAGGGATGGTTAATTTACATGTTTGTCTATTATTAGGTAAGATTTTATTCCATATCTGCTATGTGAAAGGAACTAGGTAAAGTGCTGATTTGTTTGATATAAAAAAATTAAATCCTTTGTTAGCTGAGTAATTCACAGCAATTCCATGATCATCAACCTCTTCCAGTAGATTACCGAATTTTTATTTAGAAAAAGAAAATTTGTTGGACAAATTCAAATGCATAATACACTTAAAAACCGGGTTCTCTATAATAACTTATGGGCGGGAAAAAGCTCTAGTGTTGGCAGAGTTAATAACTCATATATTTCACAGGAACAAGTTTGTTTTGGGATAGCTGAAACATAATAGTCCCTAATGATTTTTCTTTCAAATCTTTCCTGTAAGCATACATCTGCTCGTTTTGAGATTTAATTGTAGATACTGCCTACATTGGCAGGAAAAAAAAAGTGTTCTCTTCAAAATACCTCTCATTTCCCATTTAATCAAAGGACTGAGTTCATTTGATCTCAGTTCCACATTGCTATTCACACTTAAACTTAAAGGCAACAGGCTTACCAAGTAGGAGTACTACTTGGCATTGATGGGCAAGTTTCACCACAAGCATAATGTTTAACTGCTGGGCTCATCTTTCTTATTGAACTGTTTGCCAAGGAAATCCAGTCCATGATAAATAGACAAATGTCTGAGATCACTGTGGCTCATTCTCTGATGAGGCAGCTGCCTCCATGCTGTGTTTGTTGTTCCAGGATATTGTAAATACTAATATTTTATAAGCTATAGTGCAGTTTAGAAATGAATCTCATAAACATAATTCCCTATTTCCCAGTTTTCAAAAACACAGAGCCTGGACGAATATCATTAGTGGTCAGTCTGTAGATTCGGTCCTCAGCTCCATGGGCTGTGATGGGCAGAGGGAATTTGGGATGTGCAAAGTCTCAATCACTCTGTCTTTCAGAAAGTCAGGGAACTTTTGAGTTCACGTAATTCCTTCTGATTTAAAATGACAGGCTATGGTACCTGCATTTAAAATTGATAAAAAGTGTTACAGCATAAATTAAAGAAACCAGTTTGAAAGGATAGGCTAAGAAAAAAGTGTTGGTTATTAGGAAGGCGCCATAATTATTTATTTTCTTTTCAAGGTGAAACAAAAGATGTTATATCATATTGTGTACAAATCATTAATTGAGGGTATTCTCCTAAAATGCTAAACCTATTAAGTCACATTGTGTTTGGACCCTCGCCTTCATTTTGAAGTCTGATCTATATCTACGGTCTCTTTCTCCCTATGTGCTTATTTCTATATTCACAGAACCAAGCCTCCTCTGCTCCATCTTCCTTCTTTCATTTCTCTCATAATTACCTTGTCTTCTTTGAAGGAGGTGGCTCTTCTACCCACAAGTCACTTACCTTGGCTTGCGAAGAAGTACCTCTCCTTAAAGGGTGCTTCTCAGTATGTCCAGTTCCTGGAATTGCAACAAAAAATAAAGATGCCAACCCCCTTTTAAATACTGAAGACTGACTTGGTAAATTTTATTAGGTAGCTCAGTGGATATGCAGGCAAGTGGAATAAAGACAAGTAAAATCCACATCTTAAATCACGGAAACCAATAAAAACATATGGATTAAATCATGGCTAAGACAGACACTATGTAAGAGTAATAGTGTAGATGAAAATATTTTGCAAATTCCACAGCACTGTACACACATTACTGTGATTGTTTTTCCTTTAAGACACCGCAGTGAGAGTGAATTGAATAAGATGCCAATTGCCTATTAAAAAATGTAGCCTTAATTAGAGTTGGGAACCCCCGTCTTTGTATGAAAGGGTAATAATGATGGAAAGACCTGCTACATGTGGGATCTTTCTTTTCTTTATCCTCAGTCGGTGATGCTATTTGGGTAATAACTGATGAAAGGACTAGGGTGCCAACCACTTTGCAGTTAAGTGGCTAATTAAGACCCAAAGCAAAGCTGCCAGGAGGTTGGGTCTCCTAGCTTTAAAGTGACACATAAAAGCAATTAGAATGGGGCTGGCTTTGCTAGGACATATTTAAATTTGGACAAAAGTTTGGGCCAGTTATTATTTCATGTTAATATATTCTTCTCTAAGACAGCATCAGAGATAAAGGGAAATCATTTAGAGCATAAGAAATAAATTAGAATATTACTTAGATTCTCTGAATTCAGATGTGAATAAAAACTATAAAATCATTTCTATGTTTGCATTCATAATGGAGACACTACATGTAATTAGATCTCCTAATCCTAGAGGAAAAGAGAATAGGTGCATGAAGCACACTGCTATCCAAGAGGAGAAATCTCTGAATTCTTGGGCATATTGTCACCTGCCTGTCATATTGCACAAGTGTGACACCTAGCCCAGAATGGCAAGGTTTTTAGAATTGTTATATTTCAACTTGGGACAATCATTATTGCATTTAAATATAGCTGCTCTAGGAGCACAGCGAGGAAAAGAGATTCTTTCTGTGTTTAGAAAAAAGGTTTGAAGTTGATGAGGGAAATTAGAGAGAATTAGAGAAGATGAAAATTATAACACATGTTCTCCATGTATGAGGGAATGGTAGTTGGGGAGAGTAGATGACTTAAAATCACAGCTCTAATGGCATCTTAGGGTTGTGGGGTAGCACAGTCCATTTATACTTTGCTCTTGTGATTTATGATGTCACCATTAAACCCCTCGATGGCATTATATCCTTGTAATTTGCAGTTGCCTAGCATTTTTTCTATATACAACTCAATAACTCATTGTGTAGCTATTTCACACACACATAAACATACACATTAGTGTGAATATGTGTGTGCTGAATCTGTCGTCGGTGGAAACCATGACTTTTGATGTAATAATAAGTCTGGTTAATAAAAGGCAAGAAATCATGGGCTGGATATGTAGTCACTGCCTCCCCAGCTTTGTCATGAAGCATCATAAGAAGACATGCACTGTGTGTTACTATAAAGAGATTTCACTTAGATTTTGTATATATTCTTATTAAGAATTAAATAAGCAAAACTGTCTGTAAGGTCAGCCAAAAGTCATCATTACAGGAAATGTGAGATTGCACAGAGATAAAGAAGGAAATATATTCAATTCACCTCAACATTACAGTAATAGGATTAGAAAATAACAGGATTAGATATATTAAACCTTCAGGGCTAAATTCTTCTGCCCCAGGAGATATATGGTTGGGTCTCCTCACTGTCCAAGAGGAATATCTGTTTCCTTCCAGAGTCTGGCCCTGGTCAGTAATTGTAACACCATAAATCCAGGAAAGAGAAAGTTTGGGAACATTTGCTTTAAGACTATAATACGAGTCATTAGTATGTCTGTGTGTGGTGGGGGTGGGGGGTAGGGGGGAGAATGAGAGGTGGTATTTCAACCTCTCTTATTCCAGCTTTTAAACCGACTTCTGTAATTATTCTCCAAAGGAAACATGAATGCCGGCGACTTTCTGGAGAGTTATTTTTATTTCTATTTGAATATTTTAGCTCCAATACTAGATATGCACTGCTGGAGCTCTGAGTATGCTGTTCTAAAATACTATATTTATAAAATGACCCAAGAGCACATGCTGCCTGGATTAAATTTATCCCAAGATGAGAGGTTTTATCTCTAATCATCTGCTTGCTGACAAATCTGGGCGCATCTTGTGCAGGTTTGATGGTTGAGATGAGCAGGCTAAAGTGATCCAGATCCTGGAGGGGCACCCCTTTGTCTTGCCTTTGCCTTCCTGAGACATGGAGATAATGAACATGGCTTCTCTGAATTCATCATGATTTAGAGTAACATCCTCACTGAATGAGACTGTTAGTTTTATCCCAGAAATAGTGGGATGCTCTTCTTAAAGCAGCGTAACATAAAAGATGGCAAAATTATTTAAGTTCTCAGGAAAATACTTCTTAAAGATATAAAATAGCTTTTCACAATGTGTGCAAAATCTATACCAGGCATATTTCTGAAGAGTACTTGTTTCTGTGGAATTGTATTCATATCTATTCTGTGGCCCATGTCACATTATAATATTATTTTTATTTAAGCCTCATACTAGACTATGAGCTCCTTGAAAAAGGGAACCTCTGCTTGCCATTTTTATGTTCCCTCCAGAATTCCACTCAACTCCAGGCACATTGTAAGCATTCACTAAATAAGTACACCTTGAGAAGGATTGGTTGCTTCTCTGTGTTTGAGACACTTAACGGTGGATGATACATCCCTATTACCAGCAGCAACTTCTTCCATGTGGCTGCCTTCCTTTGCACTTGGGGTTAGTGGCAGAAGTCGAAATTGGGATTGGATCCTGTGTCTTGCAGATCTTTCTTCCATGGAGTGAGGAAATCAGCAAGAAGAATACTCATGACAAGCTCACGATTCCATCCCTTCTCTTTGGAAGCTTTTAATGCCAGTAAAGAAAAATAATAAATGAGAAACTCTTAGCATAGAGTTTTGGAGTGAACATAGAATCATTTGCTTTTCTGCTAGATTAGGGCCTAAGCAGCTTTACTGCCGGCTACATTTCCCCCTATGGGTTATTTTCTTTTCTATTAAGTAATTCCCTTAATGCCCAGGAAGTTAAACATTCTGTTGAAAATAGAGTTTATGAACTCTAAGATTCAAAGCCTTACTGTAATGGTTGTTTTTTATCTTGTAATCTTAAAGAACTACCAGTCTAATTAAATATCTCTCTCATATTTAGTTCAGTGATATTTCTAAGGTTATGCATATTTGAGGATAGATGTCGTGCTATAAGAATCTCACTCTGCAGCACTTTCTACCTCATTTTGCTATATTATCTAAAACTTTTGGGGAAGCTATCCAAACTTTTGTCTTTTTCTAATTCTTATCCCAATGCAAAAATCATTGTAGTAGCTCAAGAAGAAGAAAGAATTAAAGGTATGTCAACCCCTGACTTGTTTTGTTTTCCCCTGTGGCTGATTTAAGCATCATCTAATTTCCAAGCAACATTTTAGAGATGTATGAGATTGTCCACCAAAAGATGAAATGCTTTTAAACATATTTTGTGAATGCATTCAATACTTCTTCACTAATGAAAAGCATGCATTACAGTTTTTGTCAAAGGCAGCAAAAATTATTATTTTTTCATTTTTGAATGGAGATATGATTCAATTATAAAGTAATCTTGATTTCTTACATAATCAGAGAACATTATTTACCAATTATTCCCTTTCTTGATCATGATAAAAATCATAGACTGTTCTTTGAACCTTTGTTAATTCCAGTTGTCCAAAGTCTTACTGGCCTTGCTCAGGGGGAGAGCAGCTTTTGGAAATGGTATGCTGCTCTTCAATATCATGGTGATGTATTATTTGAAAGATGACAAGTTTTAGCACTTTAGAATTTTAAAGAAAGTTGCCAGAATAGATACAGAGTGTGTGTGTGTGTGTGTGTGCGCGCGCACGTGCGTAAAAGCACGCACATGTGTATGTAATACTAAAATGAAGAGACATCTATTTTGGTAACAGTCATGTACTTGGACCCATCTACAGTTCGATTGTACATCAGTTATGATGTGTCTCTTTCTAACAGCAAGGATACTGATCTTGATGAATAGCTAAAAGGTAAGATCATTCTTAAAGGTGTGAGTGATTAATAATGGCCATGCATAGATTTTTTTCTAAGAGTGTAAATAAAATATATCATTTCCATGAAGGGCAGGTGTTTGGCAGAATGATTCATAGTGCATTTGAAAGCATAAAAAGTCAAACCCAGGGTCTCTCCTAAGCATGTCAAAAAGAAAGCTGGTTTATTCATTTGAAATATTCTAGTGGATGCTGAAATAAATAAGTGGATATTTTTAAAAAGCATATGCTATGGGATACTGGAGATGGAACTAAGATTTTTATTTACCACTAATTAAACAAAATAAAAAAAATTATCTTTTGATAGCTAAACAATCTATAATAATAAAAGCATAATATGCTAATTGGACCAGACATCCTTCCAGACATCCTTCCTTCCAGACAAAGCCACAGCGGGTGGGGCCGCAGCAGGGGCAGCAGAGGCCTCCCAGGTGCAGTAGCGGTGGGCGGGGGTCGCAGTGGCAGTGGGCAGCGGGGGCCAGGGCCAAGGCCCTTGCACAAATTTTGTGCATTGGGTCTCTAGTAATAGAATAACAGGGAAAGATAAATAAAAATATAAAAGTAGCATTTCTGTACATAACACTTGAATCATATACTTCATCCAACCAAGATTTACTATGTAACTTTTAGATTGAAGATTCCTGTGGGAAGCTACAGTATTAGCATAAAGTTCGGCTCTATTGTGCTTGGCATTCATGCCAAAGTACATGGGGTTCTATTAAATTATCACAACACAGTATAAGACTGGGAAAGATGTTCTTTAAAACAGAGAAATTATTCCAGTGGTAATATCTAAGTACTCTGCTAATGGCCTAGAGCAGTTGTCAGCAAACTGTGGCTCGCGAGCCAC